GGCTGCTCCCCCGGGCAGGAGGCTCCCGGGCAGTGTCTGGGGGTCCGGGCACCTGCCGGGGGTTCCCCCAAAGGCGAGGATTTGGTTGGGAAACCGAATGGTGTGCGTTGCCTATCGCATTTTCCGTCTGCTTTGGGGGTGGACTTCTCAGTTATTAATTTACAGCCTCCCAGCTTTGCCTGCTTCCCTCTCGCTGGCGTGTCTCCAGCTCTACCGGGCGAGCTCTGCCTGAGGAAAGGTCCCTTGCCAAGCCCAGAATGGTGCCCTGGGCCCCTGCCCGGCCGGCCGGGCTCCGCAGCGTGAGCAGTGCCCAGCATGGGACCGGGGCAGACGTTCCGGACCCCGCTGCCTCCTCTCTGGCATCTCTCAGGGACGTGTCATTAGTTTCAGTAACCACGGGGTGTCAGGAGTCCCTGTTACACTAATTATCTCCACTCCTCTATTAGGCATGCTTAATTAGCCAATGTTTGCACGCGGAGGTCAGCATTGCCGTACCACGGCCCAAACGCTGTCGACCTTTCCCATGCCAGTGTGTCCCCGTGTTGGCTGCTGCTTCTGCCATGTCCCCACCGTGTCCTGGGCATGGGTGAGGACCGTGCTGGCAGGGACACTGCCAACCTTGTCCCCTCCGTCTGCGGGCAGCAGGGACCCCTTTCCCACCCCTGCCTGCCTGCGGTCCAGCCCGGGACAGCCCCGGCGGCTGAGGCTCGGGGGGCCGCTTTGGGGGGGGGGCTGCTTTGGAGGAGCGATGTTTGCTGGGGCTGCTCGAGGATGGAGTCTCAGCATCGCTGGTGGCGGAGAGCTCAGGGATCTCCCCTGGGTGCTGGAGCCGGGAAAAGGCGGATTGCTGCGTCGCCCAGCCCCCGCTTCCCAGCCAGCCTTAGGATCCCCCCGGGAGAAGTGGGCTCGTCCCCCTGCGCAGTGACAGCTCAAGGTGTTTGATTTGCTCCACGCCAAGATAAATCCAGGCAGCAATGACCTCGCGAGGCCGGGGCTGCTGTGACGTGGGCGAGGAAATGGAGGAACCATTCGAGACCGGCAGGCAGCTGGAGGGAGGATGCTGGTGGAGGAGCCCCATCTCCCCATGGGCACCGGTTCTCCCCCTCCATCCCATCTGCTCTGCGGTCCTGGTCCCATCCTGTGACCGGGCAGGGGCACTGAGGGCTGTGATCCTGGTTTATCCCAGGTGTCTCTGGGCATGGCAGCACCCCAAGAAGGAGCTGCGGGGTTCAGAGGTGGCTTTAGACACCCGTGAGGCTGCAGGACCTTGTCACGGCCGCTCAGCTCAGGGCTGAAGGAGGCTGAGCAGGAGAGAAAGGGAGAGTTGCTCCTGCTCCAGGGTGCAAAGCCAAAGTCCACTGTGCCACCGGCCAGCTTCTCCCCCGTCCCTGTGGGCTGAGCTCCCAGCTGAGGCGTTTTCCTCCTCGAGGGGTTGAATCCTGCTGACCTCTTCTCCTCCCGCTCCCCGCAGAGCCGGGCCTGCGACCACTATGGCATCTACCACACCAGCCCCACGCTGGGCAGCCTGGCCAAGCCGGTGGTGCTCTGGACCCAGCAGGATGTGTGCAAATGGCTGAAGAAGCACTGCCCGCATAACTATCTCATCTACGTCGAGGCGTTCTCCCACCACGCCATCACAGGTACCGCAGACACCCCCACTTAACAGCCGCTGCTAATTGCCGTTAGCGCATGCTCCTGAGGGATAGCTGCTGGGAGGTTGGTGGTTCAGAAGACAGACTGGGGACTCTGGCTGTCACCCCGATGTGTGAGCGTCACAGAATCACAGAATGGTAGGGGTTGGAAGGGACCTCTGGTGTCACCCAGCCCAACCCCTTGCTGAAGCAGGGTCACCTACAGCAGGCTGTAGAGGACCTTGTCCAGGCGGGTCTGGAATATCTCCAGAGAAGGAGACTCCACAGCCTCCCTGGGCAGCCTGGGCCAGGGCTCCGTCAGTGGTCCCAGTCCGACCACGACGTGAGCGTGGCCAGGCAGAGCTCTGCCAGAGCCGGGAGGAAGCAGCGGGGATGGGAGCGCCGGAGCTGCCCGGGAGGGATGCGAAGCCCTAATGCAAGAGCTCAGCCAGCCCTTGCGATGGGACACAAAGGCAGCATTAGCGAGTGCGCGCGGGGAAACCAGGACAAAAGCTGGCTGCGAATCCCTGGTCTGATAGCCCCCGGACCGGAGGAGAGCGGCTCGCCGGGGACGGTGGCGGCAACGCTAATGCGTTTTGATGGGTACCCCCGTTCCCCGGGGATGGCCAGTCCGTGCGGGGACCGCGCGCTCGGAGAAACGTCTCCTGATGCGGGAGGTGGAGCGGAGGAATGGAAAGCTCCTGCCTGCGGGGCTGGGTGGCGTGTGCCGAAG